TATCGTTGCTGAATGTTGATTGGCAATGATGATGGTAAATGTGGCAGCATTGATGATGTTGATGAACCCATTGGTTTCGGTTTTATATGTCATAGACATGATGCTATTTAGATGATAATAAAACACATTTGATTAGCAAAGTGAATATCACAATCATTCAATGTTATTCCTCTTACCTTGTTTAGTAATTTTCATTCCAAAGATAATGTGATCTTCGCCTCTGCAAATCTTTTTAATCAAAACTTCATTTCTGAATATTGACAATGTTTATAAAATGATTTATTCTTAAGCATTTCCTTTTGAAGGTCTCCAGAATAGTTTTTCTCAATAGTTTTTTCGTGAAAATTTCATCAAATCAAATTTTTATATCTGATTGAAGATCAAATATGATTTATAAAATTATCAAGCTGATCAATCAGTGGCCCAATTGAAAATCAACCAAAAGTCATTTTGAATTGATTTTCCAATATCAAAATTGAACAAACGAATTCCATCAGATTGTTTGAAAAAAATTTAATGAGATGAACAAACTCAAATTCCAGTTTTAAGAAAATTGATTACGAAAAATTCAATTGAGATTTTCGTTATCACTCAATTNAAGCATTTCCTTTTGAAGGTCTCCAGAATAGTTTTTCTCAATAGTTTTTTCGTGAAAATTTCATCAAATCAAATTTTTATATCTGATTGAAGATCAAATATGATTTATGAAATTAACAAGCTGATCAATCAACCAAAAGTCATTTTGAATTGATTTTCCAATATCAAAATTGAACAAACGAATTCCATCAGATTGTTTGAAAAAAATTTAATGAGATGAACAAACTCAAATTCCAGTTTTAAGAAAATTGATTACGAAAAATTCAATTGAGATTTTCGTTATCACTCAATTTGATTTCATGAATCCGATCAAGATAATCTTTCAGGTCCTCCGATTTTGTTAATAATCCAAAGATTTAATTGCAATGCAAATCAGGTTGATCATCAAAAATAATAATTTGAGATTAAATATTAAATCATTCATTCTTNAATCAACCAAAAGTCATTTTGAATTGATTTTCCAATATCAAAATTGAACAAACGAATTCCATCAGATTGTTTGAAAAAAATTTAATGAGATGAACAAACTCAAATTCCAGTTTTAAGAAAATTGATTACGAAAAATTCAATTGAGATTTTCGTTATCACTCAATTTGATTTCATGAATCC